CAAGTAGAAATCCCGAAAGATCAAGATGCAACTCAGATTATAAACTTTCTGCATAAGCATCAGAATCTTCGAGATCATCAGGTGCACACATAGCTACTCAATGATCTTGTGTAGTATATGTGGACCCACAATGAAAACCAAAGAGTTGATGTTTGAGTTGCGCACTTAAAATAAATTTTATGTAAACACTCTTTATGTTCGGTATCACATTTGTTATTTACGTGCGACAATGACTTGTATGATCGACGTGCATGGATTTGAGACTCCCGATTTGAGATATGTGGATGCCGGGAGCGAAATATGATGGCCCGTCCAGATGTGTCTACGGCGTGCCAGGCGCGTCCGCGGATGTATATGGGCCGGATTTGCCAAGTCCGGCTGTAGATGCTCTTATCTTGTGCTGATTGCAGTTTTTGATTATTTATAAATAGAAGGGCTTGCTGAAAATGCGGGAGCCAAATGCAACAAGGCCAGTTTGGCGGAGAAGTTCCGAGATAGCCATGAGGATGCTACGTGCCGAGGTAGGTGTAGCTCCTGTTGCGCCTACGTGTAGCTCCGCTGACAACGTCGATCGATTTCTCCACTCCACTGTTGGAGGAAAAAGTCCAAAACAAACCTTGAAGTTGTAGATAAAAGCTAAATCAAACCCTGAATTTTGAATTCCGGAAATTGGCACTCTGAACTTGTAATTCCGGCCTATTTTGAACCCTAGACCTATTTGGCACACTAGAAATAAGAGAATCCCGGCCGGGATAACCTACTACTCAGAAATTGGGCCGGCCCACTATAACACAACAAGAAATCGTGAACTTCAAAATATATTCACGCATTTCTAAAAATTTCAGAAGCTAAAAAGTATTCCTGTTTTCTATTTATCACACAAATTCAATTCCTTTTGTGTTTTTAATCTTTTCTGGAATTTAGAAAAATCTATTCGCATTTTAAAAAACTGTTTCTGATTTCAAAAACAATTCTAAAAAATGTTCAGAATTTGAACAGTTTTTCACATGCTATGAAAATGTTTCGGATTTTCAAAAATTGTGTCATATTTTATAAATAATGTTTTTAGAATTTGGTAAATAATGTTTTTAGAAAATGTTTCGGATCGTTGCCTAAGGACTCGTCTGGGCCGGCCAACCAGACATGAAGCGAGCTTTTCTTTTCTGAAAGCTGAACAAAAATTTACAAAATAGGAAAGAATTTGGAAATCTGAACAAATTGTAAGAAAATATTTTTTGACATCTAAAAAATATCACAAGTTTAAAAAATATGTGTGGACCAATTCAAACAAATGTTTGCACAATGTATAATAATATTTCTGTGATTCAAACAATGTTTCGTACATTCAAACAAATGTAGCATTTCAATAATGTTCACATGTTTCAAAAAAATGTGTTTGTGACATTTTCAAACAAAAATGTGTGTACAATGTAAAAAAAATTGTTTGCGTGTTGTAAAAACTGTGTCTTACACTTAATACAATATACTTAGCATGTGTTTGAAAAAAGTGTCTACAAATTCAAAAATGTTGAACTATGCGAAAGAGTGTTCGTTTAGTTTTATAAAATGTTTATAGTCACTAAAAAATGTAAACATGTATTTGGAAAAAATATAACCATGTATTCAAAAAAATTGAAAACATTTAATTTAAAAATGTACATAATGTATTTGAAACTATCAAAAGCTTATCAAAAAATATTTTATGTGTGCGCTAAAAGTGAACATTGGGTACGAGAAAAAATAGACATGTGTAAAAAAGGAAAAAAAAGGAAAAATAACATAGAAAACCCAGAGCAGTGTGCGCGCGGGAGCGACGCCGCTAATGGGCCGGCCCAATTCATCAAATACCGGTTAAGTCCTCTCAAGGTCTAAAATAGACCGTGATAAGAGAGTTTGACGTGTTGATTTCAGGGATTGAGAGTTCAGGGTTTGATTTAGCTTTCGCCGATAAATTCAAGGTTTGTTTTGGACTTTTTCCCACTGTTGGAAAACGAGGGGGCGCTTTCCTGTGTTACATCAAATCCGACGCGGCGTGGATGGATACACTCTCATCATCCGCCGGTTGATTGCAATTAATCATGGCAGTATAGGAGACCAGAACGCAGATGCACGTACCGTAGGTAGTAACAAGATCTTACATGTGCTTGGCAGGTAGTCACGCGTGTATCTCTTGGTCGTGAAGAGAAAGTGAGAAACTACGAGCAGCTTCAGTTGGTCAATATCTTCCTCTACAGACGAGCAATTCTTGAAACAAGTCATGTACTCCGAGTACGTACGTTTCTGCATGCGTTAATACAGACACCCAGTCCGGGTTTTCTCTACGTATATATATGGCGTGCGCGTGCTGTTCTTGGCTAGCTAAACTATCTGGGTGACAACGAGAGCAGCAGGTGATGAAAAACCACAGCAGGTAGCAAGCGACGTACCTAGCTAGGCAGGTAAGGAAGGTTTAACAAAATTCCATTTCCTCCATCGCCATCGTCACCGACTACAGCAGTGGTGTGTGCAAGCTAGGCCAATTCTTACCGGCCTCACAAATTAAAACCGCAACTTCTTTAAATCGCCTTCACATCAGCACATCACCACCGACTCCTCATCTAGACCCATTTTTTCCTTATTATTGTCATGTCATCAGGCTGAACTGTGAAGCACGCCTCTGTTTCTGAACCCGAAAGTTGGACGTCACCTTCCGCTAAGCTGTTCAAGATCTGGTCCTTGAGTGTTGAAAGAGGTGCCGGTGGCCGATGAGACTGGCCGGCTGTCGTCAGGGGCGGGCGGGTGGAGACGAGCCGCCGTCGCGGTCATCCGACTCATCGGCCCCGCGAAAACTGGCCAAGGCCACGACGAATTTATACTCCCGTTTGGTCAGGGGGTACGGAGAGAACGCAGCCAGACGCGACGCCGCAGCTATTCTGGACCGCTACGTTTTGGCCGCTTCTGAACTTAACCCGCTAGTTTAACCGTGCCGTCTTTTGCTGCAACTTGCGAATTTATGCAGTAATCTATGGGGTGATAGGGTGTGGTTTGTTTAATGAGAGTGCACACGCATGAATGAACTGGTGGTAATTAAGTGAGCTCCGGTGACAAATCCATCGATGTACCCTTTTGGCATCTAACCCTTTTCATATATGGTGGCTGCTGAGGCGCGAACCGACTCGATTAGCCTCGGGTTTAAATAGCGGCCAGAGTTTGGTGATGGGTGCACTAGCTAGATGGAAAAAGACATGCATGTGTTTTTGCACTCGCCACTTGAATTTCTCTTCGGGTTTTCTGTGGCTGCTTCTTCTCTTGGAAAGTAGAGCGCCTTTCGGCAATGGCGGATGAGGAGAGGTGATCTAGGAGGAGGAGGAGAGAGACGTGCTAAGCTGGGCCAATTATTGAGCATGATCGCCTCATGATAACGTTCTCTGACGACAGTTTTCATTCAGCGGCCCGCCTCTATATTTGTATCAGATGCAGATCGATGCGTGCTTTGCCGCGTCACCATTATCATTTCTTTATCCCGGTTTTGTCTTGGTTTACCTACCAACACATTCTAATCACACTATTTCATTGCTACAACAAATAGTAATTATAATGAGATGGCTGCGTGCATCTCGCCTGATGGCTACATCATGCACCCCTTTTTCGTCAAAACGAGCCAGTTAGGGTTAGACGCTGGTGTGCACTTCTTTTTTTTGGCGGGAAGATGTTCATGTGCACTCCCTTCTTTCGCGGGAAGATTCTCATGTGCAGTTTTAGTTTCGTCAAGACGTTTGCCCATTGATCCAGTGAAATTACAGCACACTGATCGATTATTCTGACGTGCAACGGACTCTTGTCCCCCTTTGAATTCAAACTGCACGTGAATCGTATGCATGCATGCGTTGATCAAACAACGAACACAGACCAAAATAAGTGCGATGCGTCCAGCTGGGGGTCTGGTCAGGGTGAGCATAATTCCGATTCCCACCAACTGGAACTGTACGGGCGGGAGATCGTTCCAACGGCTGCTGATTCTCATGGTCCATATATACACAGTATTCTGTACAATGGCGCTGCACATGCAAGATGCGCCTGGCTACAATTGCAAGAGAAAATGCCAAAAATAACCGTATTATTGCGCCTCAATTTCCCTTTTTCTAGAAAGCATAGTTTGAACAGCAGCCACATGCTGCATCACC